GCACTCTTGATTGGCACAATATTTTTTCAAATAATGATCTAAATTTTTTCAACAATTTATTACAATGCGTAACAGAAGGTCTTCTTGACCTTATTCCTCGGAAGATGTTCAAACCGAGTGCTAATTCCACCGCTATCCCACACTTTCTTAAAAACAGACTTAAAAAGTTACGGAAGCAGTTTAAAGATCCTTCTGTGAGTTCATTATCAGTTCATCTAAGAATCGTTGAAATATTTGAATAAGCTTCGAAAATGAGGCTCGAGCGAGATAGGCGTAGAGAGTCTTTAGCTATTAATGACGTGAATTCTTCTAAATCAGTTGCTCAGATCTTCCGTCAGAGATCATCTGCTAAGTCCCACCAAGTCATTCCGCCCTTGCTTAGTGCAAGTGATGCCTTCATTACAGAGGAGTCAGGCAAAGCAGAAATTTTGAATTCGTTTTTTGCCAAGCATTTCACCATTGAAACTGATCCGATCCCTTTAATTCCTTCGTTGTCTGATGCTTCTCTTAGCTTCATTAATTTTTCTCCTGAATGTATTCAAAAACTGATAAGCCATCTTCCTAACTCTCACTCAGTAGGTACGGACAATATCCCAAACTCTTTGATAAAACAGCTAAGAGATTTTTCTCCTCTGCTTAGCAAAATCTTTTCAGTATTCCTCGTAAATGACTTCTTCCCTGATTATTGGAAAACTTCTATTATTATTCCAGTATTTAAGTCTGGCTGTCGTTCTGACGCACAGAACTATCGAGGTGTCCATAAAACACCCTCTCTCGCCAAAATCTTTGAAAAAATTATCGTCGTAAAAGTTACCGACTTTTGCATAGACAATCAAGTTATTAGCCCTTCCCAGCATGGTTTTTTAACAGATCGGTCTTGTGAAACATGTCATCTGTCGTTTCTCGATCTACTTACCTCTCTTCGTAATGATCACCTATCTGTTGTCGTTATTTATTTTGATCTTAGTAAAGCCTTTGATAAAGTGCCACATAAAAGACTCTTGATTAAATTGGAAGCTATGGGAATTCGCAGTCCACTAATAGACCTTCTCAGGTCATACCTGTCTAATCGTAAACAAAAGGTTTTGGTGGGATCTTCACTTTCCAGTGAAAGTCCTATTGTAAGCGGTGTCCTACAAGGTACCGTTTTAGGTCCTCTTTTGTTCTTGCTTTACATAAATGATATTTCAGCAGCAGTTAAACATTCTCAATCATTTATTTATGCCGATGATCTCAAATGTGTATATTCTTTCAAAAAATCTACGAGCCTTCATTGCCTGGAGCAAATCCATGCTGACTTGCTTGCTCTCTCAGCTTGGAGCTCAAAATGGCTAATGGAATTCTCTCCGTCTAAATGTCGTTATATGTGTTTTGGACCTGATAGGCTACCCCAACCTGTGGTCTTTCAAGGAACACCTATGATTTAGGTTTTAGGTTTAAGCTACACTAGTAATCTTGATCTCTCACCGCACGCTGACAGAATTACAGCCAAAGCTGCCCAGATTTGTGGCTTTATTTCTTACAATTTCTATCTTCCTGAAATTAAGTTACGGCTCTATCTTATGTTTGTACTTCCCATTCTCGAGTATTGTTGCCCATTCTTTGGTTTGATGAATGAAGCCAGTCGTTTAAAAGTTGAAAATGTCCAAAGACGTTTTTCTAAAAAACTGTTAGATAGGGAACATCCCAATATCTCCTACTCAGATAGATGCCAGCTAATTAACCTAAAATTTTTATGGGTTCGAAGACTAGAAGCGGGCCTCTGTCTCCTCTTTCGCATTAATCATAGTTCAAATTTTCCTCGGATTTCAACACTTTCCCCTAGTAGTCGCCCATACAATCTTCGTAACTCGTCTCTAATTATACCTCTTCCGGCGTCCTCCACCTCTAAGCGCTCCCTTTTTTCGCTTCCAGGTATACTTTCCTCTGGAATAACCTTCCAATAAATATAAGATCTTCAGAAAATCTACACACCTTTAAGAGAAGGCTACGCCTTGATCGGAATATTGACTCGATTAAACTTTTATTTTCCTCATCCTTCCCAGACAACTTTTTCTATGACACTGAGAAAGGGCCACCGGGAATTTAGCATGCCGCTATTAAATTTCCGTATCTGTTCACGTTTCCTTCCTTTATGAGTAGTCTCGCTACCTAAGATCCCTCACCAGAAATGTTAATTATTCCAATTTTTTAGTTCATGCATCGTGCCCTCAAAGAATGCGCGCCATCTTAACGAAACCTTCTGTATTCGCCATATACAGTAGTTTGGTCGCATCTCCCTTCCCTCATCCTCGGTTGGACTCTGATGAATGTAACAGACCGCATCTGGGTTCTTGTCGCCTCGAGACTGGTTGTCATCGTGCCCTTACAGAATGCGCTCCATCGGCGGTCTTGACAAAGCCTTCTATATTCGCCATATACTAGTAGTCTGGTCGCATCTCCCTTCCCCATGTTCGGATGGACTCGGTTGAATGAAACCGACCGCATCTGGGTTCCTATCGGCTTGAGACTGATTTTCAATTTCGGCACTTATTTTTCTTATTCAAGGCGATACAGGCCAGTCCTGACCGACCCGCCTACGTACCATTTTATGAAATCCGTTACACAATGCCATATACAGCTGACATTTATTTCGGCCATGTTGATGTCGGACTATATTCCATTCTGTACCGCCACATGCAGGCCAGTCCTCCCTGTTTTTTTCTGATGCTATTTTTCTGAGGGTTTTTTTTTCTCCTGTTCAATTACTACAATCATTTTTAGATTTTGCTTTGGAGTTTTTTTTCACCCCTCGTTTTTTCATTTTCATTTTGCTCAACGGACTTCTAATCTCAAAAACTATGCATTGCACTTTGTGCAGATTTTGCCTACCTCGTCTAAAATTTGCATGTAAATTTATTTTTACTTGCTTTGATGGGACCCCGACGGGTCTTTAATAAAAATAATTGAATTGAACTGAATAGTAGTAGTAGTAGTAGCGGCAGCAGCAGCAGCAGCAATCTGCATCCGAGAAACAAAGATGAGACCAGAAGACACCCTGTTCAATATCAAGAAATATAGTGCATTCATATCAAAATTTGGAGCGTGCCTGAAAAGGCCCGTTTCGAAAGATTTACTCCAAGTTCGCGCATTAATTTCCTCGAAAATTAAACAAGGCAAATATGGTGCAGTTCGACAGGGCTGCTAAGACTAAGAGGGCGCCAAGGTATTCTAATAATAACACCTAAAAAGCTCAATTATCACCTGATAAAAGCCGCGCAGACGCTCATAGACTATCTGTGCCTCAAGGTGTGGAGATTTGACATCGCTCCCAAGTGTCGAAAGCCTCACTATTACAAATAGGCCTCTCTCGCCATTTGAAGCATTAACAAGAAGACTCCTAGCTTATAGGTGCATGAAAACAAAATCGTCAAGCAAGTGTCGCGACCCAGGATGACCTCCGGGGTTAAGGAGTACGCTCGGACGAACGTGACCCATGACTCGGCGAGATATTCCTAGATGCCAGAGGAATTTTGCTCCGCAACGTCTCACCTAACAGAATATCCGTGTGCTTGGAACCTAACCAAAGGAAACTCAAGAACCGCACACAAAACGTCTGCATCAAGTGTGTTCAGGACATCCTAGGTCAGTCCATTGTCCCATCCTCGATGTCCGTCCGGAGATGATTCATTTCAGAAGACAAAATGGTTCTTTTGGCGAAGTGACAGAATCCGCAGATACGAGCGTCCAGCGTCCATTACTTGGCACCCAACTCTAACATGTGGCTCGCCGAAATTAGGCTGTGTCTAGCGGCCACACCCTGCTAATCGCCTCGACCGGCGGCTAAACCAGATGTGGGGAATCAAGTGCTGTGTTCCCCAAAGCCAGTAATTACTTTAATCCTCCCGTCCATTCCTACTCCCTTCCGTTCTGCTCTTCCATCCGACACTTCCAAAAGCCCTTCGGAGAGAATTACATGCGGCCCAGTCTAACTCGGGCCGCTCTCCCACTAAATAAAACCGCGACCAATAGTGGAGTCTGGCGGTCCTTTGAGATGTATAATCAGCCCCATTTAGAGACAGCACTGCTTACCTCCTCACGACGATTGGGCTAGAAAATTTTGGGACCAAGTTATCTGCATACAGACCGTGACTCGCAGATGGACAACTCACGGCAGAAACAGTCAAACAAACGACAACCCCCGCACCGCGCCACAGGCTAATGAGGTGCGTCCGCTTACGTTGACAGCTTTGAGTGTCTGTTCTCTTAAGGACAATCTGAGGGGCAGCCAACCAAAACGAAGGACGACGCCAGTCGCTCGAGAAGCTGCGCGCCACGAGGTGGACACCACTGCTCGCAGCAAGACCTCCATCTCCTTACAAAGCCACCTGGAGGTAAGTGTCAGCCACACTTTCTTCTCGAGAGGCTGCCCAAAGGCAGAGCGACTTGGTGCAGGTGTCGCCTTTACCATTTTGGGACAATATCGTGGGATGACTGCCCTGTCTGCCGCAAGGCCTCAACGACCACCGACTTCGCCGCCCACCAGCTGAAAGAGAAGGGCGAGCAAGCGCGGACCCACCTCTACACTATCCCTGTGAACTTGACGAAAGCCTTCGACACTGTGGACCGTAGAGAGTCATGCAGAAATTCGACTGTCCTCAGCGACTCACGCGCATGGGGTGGCAGCTCCACTACAAGATGATGGCTTATGTCACAGACAACGGGGCCGTCCCAGAGGCATTCACGGTAACCAACGGAGTGAAGTAGGACTGCGTACTCCCCCCCATCATGTTTCCTACCATACTGATGGACGCTTACCGTAATAGGCGCCTAAGATCCGCATTGCTTACAGCACCCACGGGCATCTTCTCAACAGCTGGCGCATACGGACCCGACGCGCCTCTACACGACAACCGTCCACGATCCGTTCTTCGCTGACCATTGCATGCTAAACACTTGAAGAAGAAGAAGACACGATCGCCGGGACAAGAGCTGTGACAGACGCTACTGTGCAACGGAGCATGGACCTCTTTGCACCCGGCTGCGCCAACTTCGGACTCACCATCAACATGGGCAAAACGGTGGTCATGCGCCACTTGTTACCCAGCGCTGCAGACAGTGCTCCTTGCATCCACGTCAATGGCAACGAACTGAAAACCATGGACACCTTCGCCTACTTAACCAGGACACTCTCCCACTGCGTCAAAATCAACGACGAAGTGACCCACCAGACCTCTAAGGCCAGTCAGGCCTTCGGCCGCGCGTAGAACTTCGTATGGAAGCGCCACGGCCTTCACCTTAGATGTACAAAGCGGTTATCTTGACGGCTTTGGTGTACGGCGCAGAAACCTGGATAGTTTACAGTAAGCAAGCCTGGAATCTCAGTCACTTCCACCAAAGTTGTCTCCCACGGATACTAAAGCTGAATTGGCAGAACAGAATCCTGAACACAGAGGTTCTGGAGCGGACTGGGATCCTCGACATTCGAACCGTGTTGGGGCGACTGTAACTACGCTGGGTCGGCCACCTCGTGAGGACGGATGACGAGCGCTTAGCGAAACAATTCTTCCCCGCAGATTTCGTCACGGATGCTAGCCGACGAGGTCAGACCCATCGCCATATGAACACCTTGAAGAATTACTTGAAGTGACTACAGATCAAACCGAGGACTTCGAAAGACCTCGCACAGGACCGACTGGCATTAAGAAGAGCAGTGAAGACTGGAGCAGTCATCTATGAAGCCAACCAGCTCGCCACTGCCAAAGCTCGCCAGTCATAGGCGTTCCTGATCCGCAACGCCAACTACCAACCCCTCCCAACGTGCCAGCGTTGTCAACGAACACTCAGCATGCGAATCCGCCTCGCCAGACATCTCCGGACTCAATGCATCAACCCGACAAGACCCCTCGCTAGCTCCACGACTGCCCCTGCACCAATCCTTACGGCATCCGCTACAACGACAGGCCTCAGCATCGATACTCAACATACCCCTGGCCGGCGCCGTCGGTCACCACCATCACTGTCATCCCCACCACAATGTCCGCGGAGACCACCATCGCCGACGGCCCGGCAACCATCAACCTCGCCATTACTATCCCCATCTCCAGAGGTGGGGACTCGGTCCTAACCTGTCCCCATTGCGATCGCACATTTACATCATGTATCGGCCAAATCGGTCACTCGCGAATCTATCGCACCAGTGTCAGAAGCGTCCGCATACACTCACCGCATCTGCCTACACTGTCCACGTGCATTCATACACCGCATGGGCCCATTTGGTCCCAAACGTTGTATCGACACATAGCACACTTTGCACGCCCACCACCAGCCCAATCAACTCCCTATCGAACAGCATCACAACGACAATCCAACCAACATCCCCCAACGTATTCTGCTCACATTGTCACCGCACGTCCGCCCCACGCATCGGCCTGGCTGGTCACTTGCGGACCCACCGCACAGAGAATGGCAAACTTGTGCCTGGGGCACCGGCATACATCATCGCCTCAATCGTCCGCGCTGCCCTCGCACATTCACTCGGCGCTTGGGTTTATTAGGCCACATGCGCCCCCATAAAGACCTGTGGTAGAACATCGCCGGCTATACCATACCACCATATTTTCCTTCGTCAGTGCCCACAATACACAGGGCGGGGCCCTACATCAAACAACGCAAGCACGTGGCTACTCTGCCGCATGTGTGATCCGAGCCAGATAATATCACGGTGCGCTATACGCCGTGGCTTCGAAGGCTGTCCAGACCTCACAGTCAGCCCAGTGTGTTTGTGCGGAGTGATCGACTAGACGGGCTGCAATGCCTCCATCTTAACTTGACCTCTAGCCCTCTCACGTACGTGAGGCCCGTGCTGCTCATCCATTTTTTGTGAAATCCTGCTGCCTGTGGGGACCAGGTCGTGTATGCGCAGACGAGGTCACTACCTATGTCAGTGACTGCGCCGATGCTCTAGACCCACAGACTGAGCCTATACCTATGGGGACATATATTTCTGTATATACAAGAGCAAGGAGGAGATGAAGAGTGAGAGGAAAGAATCGCATAGAGGGAACGCGAGATTGGCAATAACATAAGCTCACATTGTACTGCGCAGACATGATAGTCGTTTGTGATTGGTTTTCAAGGTGAGGGTAGAGGAGGGGGGGGGGCG